ATCCATCCATCCATCCATCCATCCATCCATCCATCCATCCATCCATCCATCCATCGAGCATTCATTCATTGATCCATCCATCCATCTGTCATCTAATCAACCATCCATCCATCCATCCATCCATCCATCCATCCATCCATCCATCCATCCATCCATCCATCCATCCATCCATCCGTACATCCGTACATCCATATATCCATCCTTCTATCATCCATCCATCCATCCATCCATCCATCCATCCATCCATCCATCCATCCATCCATCCATCCATCAAACCTGGTTTTAATGTCAGATCGTTTCTGTAAATCTGCCTGTTTTAGGTGGGGCCTCCATGATTCCAGATCTCCAGGACCTGTTGGTGGTCCGCAGTCCATAGTTAAACAGTGGTTGAAAACATGGTCAAACAACAGACCTCGGTTGTGAAGTGAAGCACATATTTTCCCAGCCGTTCTTTTCTTTTCTTTTTTTTTTGGCCTTCAACTTTGAGAAAAACCGAATCCTGTTAGACGTTTCGCGTTTAACCCTTTGAATCAAGGCCCCTACCAAAACAAATGAGACCAAAGTTGTAGTAAACCCAAATTATCCCTAATTTAGTTTCTCCATAAGATCCAACCATTTAAGGTGACATTTGTTAAAGTATGAAGAGTTTATAACATCTAGGAACAACCCCTAACATAACACACCACAGTTCAGCCTTCGACAATAGAGATGACTCGAGATAAACCTCTTGAAGGAACGGCCTTCACGTTGCTCCGTCTGGCCATTTTGGGGCCTAGTTTACACAGCTGGTATAAATTCCCAAAGTAAGTAATTAGCCAAAATGGGGGATTGAAATTTACATGACATATTTAGAGTAAATGTGTAGACAACAGAGGTTTATTTGCCTGCCTCCACATGCTTGAATATCACTACCCTTTGGCAAGTTGGATGTCACCAGTCAAGCATTTTTCCACCGGGGTTCTGTTTTGACTACTGCTGCCGCCAATTACCATAATTATGTTTAACGCAGAATGTCAAACTGCTCTATATTTGTCGATGATTTTCTCAGCGGCGCAGTTGGCTCTCGCTCTGCTGCTCCTGAAACATGCCTGCTCATAAGTGGGCTGAAATTTAACCCATTACAGGGCGAGACGCTCAGCCATAACAGACTGGAGGAATGCCAGGCGTGCTCCTGTTTTAACAAAAACATTATCTGCTGTGAGAAGTTACAGATATGGTGAGATGCTTTTACTATTCCCCCCCTCCTCTTGTGTAAAGATGCGTAAGTGGATGGGGTAATAGGAGGCATCACATTGGAGAACTGAGTGAATGACTCAATCAGGAGCGTTCACATCTCTAAATAGTTTTAGTTAAGCAACACTTTCACACACCCTTTTAGCTCTACTTCCTCCTCACCTCTGCTTAAATGTTTTGCACAATTGTCATTTGGAGCTCGGCTTTGCTTGACAGCATTCCCATTAGAGGGAACGAGGCAGTCGGATTTACGTCCGCTGCCTCCAAATCCGGGAGTACTGAGAATCTCTAGCTTACTTCACCGGTCCAGACGGTCGACTCATCCGTCAGCTCAGCGTCTGGGGTGGGGGGGAGTTCCCGACAGGTAAGAAGCCCCCCTAAACAATGATGTCTTGTTAAAGTAGGCCAAGATGTTAGTCATGAGCTGTCTTGGAAGCTGGGGGGTGTTGGTGATGGGTTCTGGGTGGCTGGTCTGGTGAAAAAATGTTTAAAATGTGCAGGTGACTGTGAGTACTTATGGCTGTCTGCTTATATTTAGTCTAAATATTAGACAGAAGGCTGTTCATTTAGTTTTTTTTTTATTTTTCTCCCTTGATTCCTTCATTAAACCCTCATATTATGGAATATATTGCATTACATAAATTCTGGATTCCAGTTTAAATTAATTTTTACAGAAAAGTAAGAGTAAATGTACTGTTAGGATCCATGATTTTAATGATCATTTCGGGTTGAATGTCTTTATTTAGTTCGGAAATGTCAATTAAAATGTGTTCAGTCAATAACAGAGAATGGCTTTCAGGTTTTCTTAACTGGTCAAATTTCAGTCCTAACAACATTTAAAGGACGACTAACCCCCAAATCTTTTTATTTTTTGTTTTACTGAAAAAAAACAACAATGTATAAATAGATGTGTGAATGTATGGAGTGAATTTTGTTCACATTTCTTTTTTATGTATGGAGTGAATTTTCTTCACTACATACAGAAATGCAATCAAGAAAAAAAGCAAAAAAAGGTTTGAATATATATATATTCTTTTATTTATTTTCAAATTATTATTCAGTTTTCCTTTTTTATATTTATTTTTTCAATGTCTTAGAAATATTGTTTTTATTTTTCATATCATATTTTGTTAAATAAATTAAAACATTTTTTTTCAAATTTTTTTTTTTCCAGATTATGTTCTCCATACTATTAGGGGTGGGGTTTCCCCTAGAGTGAGGAGCGAAGATGCATTTCTATTGTCAGCTTCGATGTTAGCAACAAAATTTTCATTGGTCAATTTAGTTTTGTTGTTGTTGTTTTTTTTTTAAGGGGGTATATTAGAGACTTAGACTTCCTTTATTATCATTGCACAAAAAAATAGAATGTGAATCTTAACGCCGAAATGTCGA